ATATATAATTAAATAATATAATTATATTTCTTCATTAATATTCCAAGTTACTCAAACGAAATGTTGAATTTCAAGAACTCTTTTTTGCAGCTACGAAACATTCATACGAATCTGAAGCAAAATCTAATAGAAATCTAATAGAATAGAACTTTTACGGTAAAGTGTTTCGAGATAATACACATTCCAGTATGATATACATTTGATTTTTTTCATTCTATTTTTATTACACTAATTGTCTTATTTCTTCAAATAAAGACTCGTAATACGCAATTGAGATGAAACATTCCCTAATTCCGTTAAAACGTAATCTGATTGATCAACATTAAAATTTCGAGTTTCCATAATTCCAGGATTACCATAAAATAGAAAACACCATCACAGTCAAAGTTCGATATTTCGAATAATAATATACATATATTATTTTAGTAAATCAATTTATTTCAGATATGATTGCACGCCGATAAACTTTCAATACAATCAGTCTCAAACGCTAATAATTTCTCCTAAATTAAATCAGAAAATCTGTAAAGAATTTATTGCGAAAAATATTACTTCAGCTAGGATTCGAACTTGGGACCTCTCGACTTTCCGGGAAGAGTGTCTTATAACTAACTCCACTGAGGCTCGGAAATATTTTTCGCAATAACTGATATATATAAAAAGAATGTGTTGTACGGCCGCGTGTATAAACATTAAGACATCGAATTTATTGGTCGTTTCTTAAGTCTTAATGTCTTAAGTTTTATTTTTTTTTGTTCAGATTCCACAACACATGTTTAATAAAAAAAAAAAATTTAAAATGGAAATAATTTGGTTAGTATATATACACATTAGATATGGGAAAAAGTTCGTGGCGTTTTTCCCGTTAGATGGCATTAAAAAAACGCTACAACTTTTTCCCATACCTAATATTATTAAAACATTTTATTTCCATTAATGTAAATCCATTAATTAATTTTTAAATAATATTACAGAGAAATAGAAATATCACAAAAATGGCGATTTTTATTTATCTCGTGATAAAATTGCTTACTTATATTATTGAATTAAATCTATTATTGAATTAAAATCAAAAACGGAAAACGATAAATGCGATTGGAAAATACTCGTACGAGAAACTCTGTTAGAAATGTATAATGAGAGCATTGCTAATTATTCTGCGATTGGGAAGAGATGTTTCGACCAGCAATCAACGCTGTATTTTTTAAAGCATTATTTGGTATATAATTATTATTATTATTATATTAATATTCATTATTTATCATACGCATACACATACGCACCACTTATACACATACGCGCGCGTATGAAGAAAAAAAAATATATATATATATGATATATATATAAACAGCAGCTCTTAATTGTTAAAAATGGGCAATGAAGAAGACAAAACCAATTACTCGTAAAAAATTTATATTATGTATAAATAAATATCCAGCAAATAAACGTAAATATCGGAA